ACGCACATGTATGTGAGCCGGCAGCTGGCAGGCATGCTGGAAGGCGCCGCAAGCGAGGCACCAGGTGCCATCTGCCTGGGTGTAGGCCTCATCGCAGTTGAGTTTCATTATGCCCTTGCTGGAGATCATAATGCAACGGATCGACATGGAGAAATACTCCGCGGGGCAAATGGTCTCTGAGATCTTCGTGAAGAGCTGGGCCGCATCACCGAGATGATGACAGGCGCTGCAGTTGCTGCCAGGGCGCCGTCCACATCTGCGGGGCAACCTGCGTGATCCTCCAATGTGGGGCAGGCTCCAACAGCCGAGCTGCTTGCCACCGACGAGCCTATACCTCTGGTAGCCGAATCAGGAGATAATGCAGGGGCACCTGCTGCAGCAGCACCAGCAGGGTTACCTGCCAATGATCAGTGGCTGAGGCGCATGGAGAGGGCCACCGAAAGGGGCTCGCAATGGCTCCAAGCACCATGCGGCAGCATGCCCTATGGGCGTCCGCTACGCCAGCGCAGAACCGAAAGCCCAGTGAGCGCGCGCAGCGGCTCCAGTGCCATGTCTGAGTGCGATATGCTGCATGCGGTGCTGATGGTCAACGCGGATGAACAGAACGCAGTGCGCTCCGACGACGACACTTCTGAGAGCACGCCGCTCTCTCCACCGTATCCCCACACGTGCGACGAGTACCCAGCTGCCGGGGTCTTCCAGAAGCAGCTCATTACAGAAGAGGAGGCCAGGGGGCACGTGAACGTCTTCACGTCCTTGACAATGGACGAGTGGAAGCTCGAACAGAGGTGCCGTCAAGGTATGCACGGCTTAACGCTGTCCGACATGCCAGGGATATCCGGAGAACGTCATGAGTTGGCCTTGGCAGCGGACAGTGGGAACATGGTAGATGGTATGCTGACGATCCTACTGGACATCGGCAGTAGCATCAATATGCGCAGACATTCGAGCGGGTGCCACGCTTCCACGGGCACGACATCCAGAAGCTGAGCCTGGCGAAGAGGTTGTACGTGTCTGGTTTGGGGCTTGGAGCCGCCATCTGCGACAAGTCACTGCGCTGCAAGTTTGCACGCAGGGAGAGAGGCGACTCTGCGGGGAAGCCCGCTCTTGCCTGGCTGGGCACATTCAGCCAGCGTGGCAGAAGGCTCCGGTAAGAACCTTCCTCCTGTCCTGGGTCTAAGGAGCACGTCCAACATGCGTGCCATCCCGACCCTGGGGCAGGGGCGCGACAAGATGACCATCCCAGGCTCAGAGACGTACGGGCTCCTTGGTAAGGGCGCGAGAGTACTCGACCTGTTGAAGACGCCCTCAGGGCACCTGGCGATCAAGGTCGACGATTATGGGGTCGCAATAGGAGATCATGGCTCAACAGCATTCACTGTGACAGCCAATCTTCAATGCGAATATATGCCCCTGCTCGTCATGGAGGTAGCCGACGCAGAGCCGATGGCAGGGCAACCTGCCTCGAGCAGCGCGGGGGCACCCGCGACTAGCGACGTCCGCGCGAACATGATGTCCCACTATCCATCAATGAGCAGACTTTCGTGCACGATCCAGTCTTTCCTGAGCAACACCCTCGAGACCTGGCGTCGCAGGAACACGACGTATTGGAATGCCCCTACGCCTGCCGATCAGGGTTTCGCTTTGCGCAACTAGCAGGCGAACGTCTATCAGGCCGTCTACGAGGAGGCCAGCGAGTGGACGCCGCCCGACAATGCTGCAGGGGGACCTGCTGGGGTGGGCGACGCTGCCGAACAGTTTTATATCTTCATTTCGAGCAGTGGCTCAGCGGCGCATGGCACAGGCGTTTGGGCGCCCGCGTCGCTTGAACGTGAGTGACGGGGGCAGGCGCCCGCCACGGCCGCTCGCTGAGGTTCTGTCGTCAGGCGCGGGGGCGCCTGCATGCTTTTCCCAGGCGCCGGTTGTGCGCGCCAGGGGCAGTGGTGGACCCGGCTGTGAGGTCGCCAGAGACAGCGGTGGACCCGGCTGCGTGGCCGCCGCAGCAAAAGAGCGCCCATCACATCAGTATCATTCTCGGGACCTTGTTGCCGAAGTTGTACGAACAGCTTGCGTTGGACTGCGAGCTCGAGGATACATGTGCGACCGTATCACTCACGCAGTGGCTATGACCTCTACTGGTACGCGGCACTTCAGTGTATTTTTCAGGGGATTGCAAATGAGCGTGGGTGGCAACGCCCGCTACTGCCAGTGAGCCCCGTGACCCCCTATGAGCCCTATGGGCCCCAAGGGGCCTTTGAGCCCCATGGGCCTTGCGAGCCCTGTAGGCCCTATGACCCCTCTGCGCCCAATGATCCTCATGCGCTCCATGAGCTCTACGAGCCCAATGAGTCCAATGCGCCCCCTGGGCTCTCTACGCCCCATGAGCCCTATGGGCCCTCCCCATGAGCCGCATGAGCCGCGTGATCCCTGCAGCTCAATAGCTCAATGAATACTGCGAGTCCTGTGTGCCCCATGAGTCCTATGAGACTTATAATGGGGCCTATGGGCCCTCATGGGCGTCGTGGGCCCGAAGCGATCCGTGAGCCTTCTGGGCCCTGGGGGCCCTCGGAGCCCCATGAGTCCTATGAGCCAGCCAGGCCCGCTGTGCAATGAGGGCCTCATGGGCCCCATGAGCCCTATGGGCCCTCTGATCCCTATGGGCTTCATGAGCCCACTGGGCCCTATGGGCCCCGTTGACCCTGTGAGACCTTTGAGCCGCGTGAACCTTGCGAGCCTTGTGGGCCCTATGAGCCCCATGAGCCCTCTGAGCCGTCTGAGCCGCGTGGAACCCATGGGCCCAGTGAGCCCTATGAGTCCCTTGAGCTCCCTGGGCGTTTTGAGCCGCGAGAGCCGCGTGAGCCCTATGAGCCCCATGGGCCCCATGCGCCCTCTGAGTCCCATGTGCCTCGTGCGCCTTGCGAGCCCTATGGGCCCGATGAGTCCCGAAGTGCCATGTGAGCCCCATAGGCCCGACAAGCCCGATGAGCCCTATCAGCCTCATGAGCTTTCTGAGCCCGTTGAACCTCATGAGCCCTGCGAGCCCGCCGAGCCCCATGAGACGCATGAACCTTATCGGCCCACGAGACCCATGGGCCGCACGGGCCCCATAAGCCTTCATGAGCCCCACGGGGCCCATGAGGTCAATGGACCCTGCTAGCCCCATCAGCTCTGTGAGCCCCATGATCCCATGCGAGCCTTATAAGCCCCGGAGCCCTGCGAGCCCCGTGGCTCCTATGAGCCGAATGCGTCCGATGAGCCCTGCGAGCCCCGTGGGCCCCATGAGCCGCATGAACCCTTCACGCCCTATGAGCTCTCGGAGCCCTGCGAGCTCATGAGCCCGATGAGCCCCATGGGCCTTGCATAACCTCTGAACCCTATGAGCCATATGCTGTTTTAAGGCGGAGTGCAGCCAGCCGGTGCAATATTGTGTTTCTGTGTATATATATAGATATGTGTATCGATATGTATATTTTATTCCTTCCCGCGCGTACCCCCCCCAGCCCTTCCCGCCCGATTGTTTGATGAATTCGACTTCCAGTTTTTATCCGACATTCGGGGGCATGCCCCCGCGCTGTTTCGACCTCAGAGGTGTTGGAGAGCATTGGAGTCATTGCCCGCTACTGCTACCCTGGCGAGAGCGTCTGGCCCCTCACCGCCAACGCGAGAAAAGGCCAGGAGGTTGATCAACGAGAACATCGCGCTTGATTGCGGCCGTCCACAGTCGGAACTTGCACGAGCTATCGTATCGCACCCTGCACCCAAGTTCATGATGAAGCGAGCCGTGCCCATGTGGCCCACAGCGTCGACGACGATGTTGCTACGTCTTCCTCCAAGGCGGCCTCCACGAATTTCGAGACGACGTTTTCGACGACCTGTTCACGAGGCCACTGTCTTGGAGGGACCAGCAGCCCATGAGCGTCGACACGGGGGGAAACTACGCAAATTTCTTTGAGTTGTTCACGCAGATGGGGCCGCCCTTTACTGGGGCCACGTCGGCGACTTCGAAGTGGTGCTTAGGGGCGTGCCAAGAGAACTGCGAGTTCGTGGCAGGCATCTTCCAAAACGGCATTGCCATCCTCGACGCGGGCAACTTCATGCTGCTGGCGGTCTTCAAGAACACGGGGGGGCAAGGTGATTGCGACGCTGGTGGGGCGACGATTCGGGTTCTTCTCTCCGCAGCACAGGCAGGATGATGCGGTCGAGGGGGCCCCTGCGCAAGGTTGCGGCCAGCAAGGGCCGAAGCGGCCGACCGCGATGAAGCAGCTCGAGGTGATTGAGCGCAATATTGACGCCGTCATGGACGACGTGCTGCGTTTTCCAGCTGCTCTTTGTGACTTGTATTCTCGGTGGCTGCGAAGCAAAGACGCTTTTCAGGCGCGCGTGGGCGATTCCTTCATCGTCAGTCAAGTTCGGCGAGGACCGCGACATCAACAACCTTATCGTGTTTGAGAGCGGGGTGACCTACAATACGGGCCGTCTGACGAGCACGGCGATGCACGTGAACCAGTGCATTGAGCTGGCACGCTTCAAGACGGATCGCATGGCGTCTGACCAGGCATGGGCGCGGATGATCTCATCAAGATCGCGGTTTTGCATTGCTGCGTCGACGGGGGGGGCGTTCGACTTCCTTTGCGACTCGCTGCTGACCGGCCCCTCGGTCGCGGAGGAGATCGTCGTCGCCTTTCGGAACGTCGTGTCCATCGCTGGCTCTCTGGGCAGTGCTGCTCATCTGCCTTGGCCCTCGCCGCCCATGTCCATGCCCTGCCTCGGCACTGGCAGCGCATTCCCTGGGGCCCAGGTTTGGGCGATGGGGCGCGGGCGTTGGCGTTGACGGGCGAAGCGGCGATTGCTGGGGCGCCGCTCGCCCAGGCCCGCACGCGCGCGCCGACTTTTCCGACGGCGCCTTTGTTCAGCCTTGGCCGGGTGAACGAGAAGGCGTTGACCGAGGTGGCTCCTGCAGATTCCTTCGGCCGTTTTGTCCTGGGGTCCCCGACGTCGAGAAGCTGCCCCTCGTCGGGGTCGAGTCCGCGGACGGCGCCAAGGATGGCCAGGCAGTCATGCAAGACTCCGTGCGCTACGAGGCATTGTCCGATTTGGTTACTTTCCTGGATGCGAGTGCTTTCAGCGGCGTCCGCGCCCCAGGCGCAAGCCTCGATTCAGATGATGCGGCCAAGATGTCCGTCGAGCTGTCTTTGTTCTTCTTGCAGATGGTGGTTCAGGTCAAAGGCCGCGTCGGAGTTGCGGCGTCGCAGCACGGCCACCTCTTCGCCGAGGCGGACGGGCCAGCCGCGACGCTGGAGGTCTTGTTCTGCGCGCGCGAGCGCGCCCAGTGCATCGTCGCCGAGAGCGCGATCAAAGTGGGTTGGCCCCATCTCCGTCGATGCTGCCAGGCAGTGGATCAGATCGGTCGCTGTCTTCGCAGGGTTCTGCAAGACGGAGTTGCTCAACAGGATGTCGGCGATCATCCACAGCCAAGTGTTTGAATTCAGAAAGATCAGGCCCGGCTGGGGCACCGTGCGCGGCCAGGAGACGGGGGCGCTCAACGAGGAATTCGCGCTCAAGCAGTTCAGCAATTTGGAGGTGGTGGTGCACTGGTACAACCTCGTAAGACCATGCGCTGGTTCTCGCGCGCGGGTTTCCTCATGGAGCTGACCCCGCGCCTCCAGGACCGCGACCTCGCGTCGGAGGCTTTCGCAGCGGCGATGGCTTGCTTGGCCCAGTGGGCTTCCAAGGGCCCTGGGATCAATTGCGTTGGGCTGCCCGCCCGTCATTCCCTGTCGCGTCGAATCCTCCTCCCGCACCCCCCTCCCGTCCTCGAAGATCGCCACCCTAAATGCTCGCCCCCTGGCCCTTCTGACCTTCCGACTCTTCTTCCGCCTCCTCGTGGCCGTCTTCTTTCCTTCTTCGTCGTTCGCCTCGTCCTACTTCCGCCTCCCCATCGCATTCCTTCTCGCGTGCCTCCTCTTTCCCGGCCGTCGAGGGGATGATCGGCGGGCCGCCCGGCCCACTTGGCGCAGGTTGCTTGGTGATCCTCTCAGGGGAAGGCGAGCCAGGTTACGATCGTGATCAAGGGGGTCAATGCCCTCGCCACGACGAGCCGCGACCCAGATGGGCCGATGCGCGCCGCGGACTTCGTCGAGCTGCACGGGCCGAAGGGCGTGGACATCCCGAAAGGTTTCTGGAGGGAGTTCGAGGCCATCGCCGCGGAGACGCGCGAGTGCGGCTCCGATGCCAAGTCGGGCCAGGCGAGCGCCCGCGGCGGTGTCGCGCCGAGGGCGAAGGGCCAGGGCGACCGCGCCTGGGCCGACCGTGCCAGCGAGGAGACGTTGGTCAAGCATGAGGCTGGCTTGTCGGATGCGGCGAGCAGCGCGCGCCCGCCGCCAGCGGCCCCCCGCGCCCGGCCGAGGCGCGGACTCAAGCGAGCGGCGTTGCCGAGCTAAGTATTTTTGGAGCGACCTCGAGGCAGATGGCCTTTGAGACAAGGAGATAAGGAGGAGGGGCAAGGATATGCAGGATGAGGCGAGGCGGAAGGTCGCGAGGGCTTGGGTGGGTGGGTGGCAAGGGTAACGAGGGAGCAAGGAATAGGAGGAGGATGGAGGATGAGCCTCGGCACAACGCTCGAGGAGTCTGGCGTCGGAGGTTCGCCCCACCTGTGGGGCCCAGAGAATGGTTTCGCCGAGCGCCGCCTCTGCCCGCTTGCCTTTGCCCCCCGCCCTTGCCGCGCGACTTCCTTTTATGCTCGCGATTTGGGTTCGGGTTCGAGCTGGCAGCGCGCCCCGCGGGAGTTGCCCGCCGCAGGCAGCAGGGGGCGCCGCTCGGGGGTGGCAGGTGCGACGACTCGCGCTCGAGGATGATGAGCAGAAAAGCGTTGGCAACCGATGCCATCGCCGATGCATCGCCGAACTGAGTTGCGGCGCGCGTCGCGCATGTTCCGCCTGCGCTCTTCACGCAGTGCCACGTGACACCCACTAGAATATTATAATACATGATCGCGCCAAGCCGACAGTAACGGATTTGATAAGTTGTAAAGCCCGTTGTTGCCGACTTACGTTTCCGCATTATCACGCGCGTGCGCGCGTTTGCAAGGCGCGGTGCGCGTGTCATTGACAGCGCGTTGTCTGTCATTCCTTCTTAACACCATCCAACGTCACCGCCCTTCCCGTTTTCCTTGCGCTCCCGCCCCCGCCATCTGCCATCCGTTTTCCCGCAGGTTCGAACGCCCGACGGTCCCTTCTAGCGACCCGCTTGAGCGCGAGGCCCCTTTGGGTTTGCAAGCATCATGGCCCACCTGCGCGCCGGCTACGGACCCCGATGGACTCGATGCACCCGAGCTGATTCGAGTGATCCTCCAAGGCCGCTCTTGGCCAGAAAACGCGCGCGCCAAAACGCGCTGTGCCGATCGAGCTGCTTCGGGGTCATTCGCCGCCGATCGTCGTGACGAACCGCTTATTTGCAGGACTGTCGCCGCCGTCCGTCTTGACGCAAAAGGCCCCCCTGCAGACCAACCCCGCCCCCCCCCCCGCGCTCTCAACAGATGCTGGTGACGATGGGGGTGGTGATGATGTCAATGATGGTGGTGATGGCGGTAGTCATGATTGTGGTGACTGTGATGTTGGCGGTGCAGGCACTGATGTTGATGACGATGGTGATGGTGTTGATGACGGTGATGACGATGGCGATGGTGATGCCGATGATGATGTTGGAGGTGATGTTATGATGATTGTGATGTCGACGACGATGCCGAAGACGATGGCGATGATAATGATGGTTATGATGATGCTGGGGATCACGATGCGAATAGTATATGCAGTAGGTGTTGATGATGCTGTTGATGGGGCAGATGCTGATGATGATGCTGATGACGATGGTTAGGATGATTACGATAATGGCTGTGCAGTTGATGATGACGACCATCATCACCATGCTGCTGATGATCCTAATGGTTCCGATGGTGGTGATGATGATGATGATGAAGCTGGTGAAAATGCTGCTGGTGAGGACGACTTTGGTGATGATGATGATGATGATGATGATGATGTTGTTGTTGTTGTTGATACCTCTCGATGATGCTGATGATGAGCATGTGGATGATGATGTTGGCGGTGATGACGATGATGCTAATGGTGATGATGATGCTGTTGGTACCGATGATGATTATCTCCATGATAGTGGTATCAGTAAAGAAGATGATGATGCTGATGGCGACGTTGTTGCTGCTGGTGATGATGATGATGATGATGATTATGATCGTGATGCTGATGCTGATGCTGATGCTGATGCTGATGCTCATGCTGATGATGATGATGATGATGATGATGATGATGATGATGATGATGATGATGATGATGATGATGATGATGATGATGATGATGATGATGATGATGATGATGATGATGATGATGATGATGATGATGATGATGATGATGATGATGATGATGATGATGATGATGAAATGATTGTGATATGATGCTCATGATAATTTCGATGCTGAATATGATGAGGTTGATGCTGATGATTATGATGATGATGATCCCTCCTCGGCAGACGGCGTGCGTCACACATCTTCCGCCCCCGGCAGGGCAGAACCGCGATTCAACCTGGACCCGCTCGGCAAATCGGTGCAGCGGCCCCCCTTGGGCACTCCTGAGGACCACTACCCGTTCAAGACGCACCACGGGTTAAGGCACCCCCACCCCCCACCCCGCGCGCCCGACGCCCCCGCCCCGCGCGCTCGACGCCGCGGCGTCGCGCCGCTCTCGGGGGCGGCGCTGCGGCCTCCCTCGGGCCGCCAGGCATGCGGGGTCCCCCGCCATTCCCTCGTTGGAGGCGGCACACCCACTCCAGTTGGCGCCCCGACGCTTGGCGCAAGCAGGGCTCGGCCAGCCCCTTACACGCGCGCCGAACAAGCGCTGCAACCGCACACGTTGCAAAAGAACGTCGGATCCGCCCGCAACGGCATGTGCGGGTCGTGGAGCCTCGCATTGCACCAGGCAGGCTAGGCTGCCCGACGTCTGCTGGGCCCACCACGGGGGCCTGCGTTCCAGCAGATCGCGCCCGTCCTGTGCCACGGCCACCGCCGCGGCCGCGGCCGCCTTGTCCTGGCCCCTGCAGAGCGGGTGGGGGGCCGGAGGCACCTCGGCGGCGGCTGGCATTGCCGCCGCGGCGGGCCCTCCGGCTGGCGGCGCCTTCCCTCTGCCTCAGCAGGACGAGCTCGCCTCCGTCACCGCCCTTGGCCTCTCCGCGCGGGCGGGCGGCCAGCGCAGCGGCCGCCATCGCGCGAGCCGCCGCTGCTGGCGGCTGTTCGGCCTCCCCGCATGGGGATGCTTGCGGTGGCGCAGGCTCAGCAGCTCCACCAGACTGTCTCGCCTAGCAGTCGTGCCGTGCCATGGCGGTCGCAGGCGCGGAAGGCGCAGTCGGGCCCGCCGACCCCGCAGGTTGCCGTCGGCCGCTGTTGGCAGCCCGCCCAAGCGCACCTGATCGCATCAAGGCCGGGCGCCTCGAAGCTGTCGGGCGCCAGCAGCAGCGAGGAGTCGCCCCTCCGCATGGCCTTGTTTAGCCAGTCTGAGACGCCTTCGGCGAGGGTCGAGCCGCGCCTGTGGGACGCCGTTGAAGGCGGCTCCCTCCTTGGCCCGGCTGTCCTCCCTGGCGTTGCCCGCGCGCTGCCTGTCCGTGATGAGGCCGTCGACGACGTGCTTTTCCTTCGCGTGCGCCTCCACCTTGCAGACGTGCACAATGGCGTCGTCGTTGTTTTCAACGAGATGCCAGAATTGCATCCGCAGTCGGTGTAGAGGATGAGCGGGCCGATGCCGCCCCGCAGGGCCTCCACTGCCGACTGCAACCCCCCAGCCCCGGTGTCCTGGAGGACTGGCCAGGCCACGTTGCCCCAGCCGAGCTACGCTCCGTGTCGTCGATTCCCCACGCCGCGAGTGCCGCCCAGCCCGCGCGCGCCAGAGTCTTGTCCCTGGGCGGAAGGCGGAGCCGTCGGGGAAGACTTCGCGCACAAAGACCGACCCTTAGGCCGAACCCGAGCGTCTCACCAGCATGCGAGCGAAAGGCAGTGGCGCATGCTGATTCTGATGCTGATGATGATGCAGCTTATGCTGGTAGTGGTGGTGATAAATGTATGTGAGGGCGACGAACACGACGACGACGATGATGATGAGGATGATGGGGATAACGATGGTGATGATGAGGCTGATGAGGATGTGATGGTCGATGCCGACTCTGATGATGAGGGTATGATGATTGTGATGATGTTGATGCTGCTGATGATGATCAAGTTGAGGATGTTTATTGTGAGGATTATGATGGTAAACATGATTACGATTGATGGAGGCGGTTGATGATGTGACGGTTGATGATCGTGTGATGAGTGATGTTGATGTTGATGATGATGTTGATGGTTATGTTTATGATTACGCTGATGGTTTTGTTGATGATGTTGCGTATGATGATGATAATGATGATGATGGTGAGGACGAAGGTAATTATGGTGTTGATGATTATGAACATGTTGATTATGATGGTGGTGGTGATGGTGACGATGACGATGGCGATGTCGATGCTGACGAAGGATCATCATGCTACTGATGATGTCGAGGTTG